TAAAACTTTATCAAAATCATACACCTTTCCTTAGATAGCATGCATGTGTGTCTAAACAATTTCAGAACTATGAAAATGGATGCCGTAATCATAGTCTCAATTGTTTAGACCTTTTGCCATCTGCTTCAAATCTACTTGGTGGAAGTGTTTCCTCACCATCATTTTCATGAATCGGAGAGAAACCTTATGACCCTTAGATTTTATGGTGTATGTGTTCTTATCCATGTGAATCGTCAAAACCATAGTCACAAGACAAGGATAATGACAAATCCAAACTCATATGGACTGAACTTATGCAATCTTAACTTCTTGCCACCTGGGAGTACAGGGTCTGCCATTGCTTCCAAGTTGTTATGCAACCAATTGAGAACTTTCAGAACTCCTATGCAAAGCCAACTTTAACTGGAATGGGCACAGAATATGTCAACACGATAGGTTACAAACCTAAAGTCGTGTGCTAGTGAAGAACCTCAAGTTTTATTCTTGATTAGTTCTTGAAATTCTTTTTAGGATCATTAAGACTCCCACTATCCTCTTGACATATAAGACTATCTTGCCAAATATTCAAGAGATAGTGCAGATTCTTTATCAAGACAAACACTTCACACAATTGGCCTTAGTTGGTCTTTGTTTTATCCAAAACATCACAACTTACCAATTTCAAATGTTCAAGAGTAGGACACTTTTACTCTTACATTTGACAAGTGTTTTAAACCTTTCTTTAAGATATGTCACTCAAGTTACAATCTTGGAGTATGACTCTAAGAATTGTTTTGGAACGAAGTATGACTCATCTTCCTGATCTAACCATTTCAACAATTCATGACTCCTCTTCTTAGTCATAAGAATGCACTAAGATGACCTTTAGAGGACTAATTGTGATATGATTTCTAAATCATTAAGATGATCACAAACATGATACTAAAGTACTCTCCCATCTTTTCAGATTTGAGAAACTTTTATCTTTCTGCCTAATTTGATTCTTCCCATTCATTCTGCCATACATTGAGACTTTTTTAATGTTTCAGAATTATACTTAAACTTGTAAGTATAACCATATTTACTAAACTTTAGTAAATCAAATAGTCTTAACGAGTTTTGTGGTGGACATGACCAGTGCAAAAGAATGTGTACTCGATCCCTTTAGTCCTTCACTTGACTCACACATCCATGTGAACAAGTAATTAGTCTTGATTTTCCAATGCTTGAAAGTTCTCATTCATCATACTATTCAACTTGCATGATTCCAAGTTTCGGTCCAATTGAAACTTGGGTGATGAAGAACTTTCCTGATTTGGTAAATTTAGACACTACCACAAATGAAAGAATCAAATCCATTTTCCAATATTGCTATCAGTGGAATCATATAAGCAACAATTTTCCACAAATGCCATTGTAAGGATACTTCAAATAAATAAAATTAAACAATTTTCTTTTATTTTAAAACTTTGCGGAAAAACTTATCCTTACAATCCACATGGAAAATTGTTTTTATCTATTCCTTAGCAATATATCATAACTTCTTAAGCAACTGCTCAAAATTATGATGCGATCGAAAACCACCTTCGCGATCAGAATCAACATATACTTCCTTTAAGATTTCTCTCTATTCTTTGATTCTTAAAACATCAACATGTGACCCAGTCACATCATGTAATGAGGATCTCAGAATAGAACTTAACAGAGTTAGATAATGGGCTCTACCTGATGTAGAGTCAAACTTATTGACTTTAACATCCTTAGGTAAATTTGGCAGCTTTGCAATCAACGCCCCTTCCTTTGGCAAAATAAACATATGGACCCTTTGGTAATGGGACTATCTCAGACTTAGCCTTTCTCTTTACCATTTGGTCAACCGGGTTGACTATGACCAATCCCTTTCCATTGGGAAGAGAATGCTTTTTCTGGATTTCCAGTGTTACCATTGTCACTGTCCATAAAGTTTTTGGGAAGTTGATCTTCTAATCAAATTTGCTTTACTATCGTTCCAAATCATTGCTGATTCAGCAGCACCAAGCAAATAGATATGATCATTAAGGTTCATGTCATAGTCTGTTTCATAGTAGTCCCAAAGGAACTCACTATGTGACTTAGAAAGTGATTGAACATCCAACTTTCTCAAGACTTTGACACCCAACTCTCCCGGCTTGTCAATATGTGACTTCATCTCTAAGATGTGATCACACAGACCTTGCTTGCCAGTAGGGCTTGAGTGACCTTGAACTTGTGGGTTAGGGAGAATAATTGGAGGAGGTGGAGGAAGAGAAGTATGACTTCCATGAGCCAAACTCGGGAAGTCATATTCATTAGGAAAGCTTGGTTTGGGAAGATCATTGTTGTCTAAACCAGACATCAACAATGGGAGAAATTCACGTAAAGTTGATTTAAGTCCTTAATATAACACCCAATATGATATATTAAGGCTAGGACCCAACAAACTATTTTATAACTTGGAAGAGGGATGCCGTAATCCAAGCTATAAAATATTTGAAGGTAGGTGAATGACGATTCACCAATTTCCACCAAGATAAACGAAATGTATTATTAGGTTTTAATTGGTTTTGAAACTCCTAGATTCTTTTGAGATTCATTGAACTTTTCAATGGCATGTTTCAATCTCGAGTGTGCCCTTCAGGTTTTGTGACTGGGATGCCGAGGATCACAAAACAAGGTGTGAAGTAACCATGCAAATATACTTGGTACCCTTAATATTTACCCCTCAATCGATGTGCCGGTTAACCACACGAGCTCCACCCATACTATGATAAATATTAAGTTACCCTTTGCCTATTTTGTTAAATCCAGGTTAGTGTGCCGGTTAACCACACACACTCCACTAACGGTTTAAACAAAGTGCAAAGTGTAATTTCATGGATTAACACCTTATTCACATTTTCCTAAGTAACTAAGATTGAGAATTAATAAAAGGTTTAGTTACTTAGTATTTATCATTAATACTTTTAATGAAGGGAGAATTATAGTCCTTGTCCTACCTGTTCGGCTAACGACCCTCCACCAGTCAAGGAAGCGGTGGGTGAGAGTGGACACCCATTAAGCTGCCATTTTATAGGCAACAACCTTATACCCCCCTTATAGACCGGCTTCGTGAATGAGGCCTACTAATGGTAAGACGACTTGCTCTTATACATATAATATATTAAACTTTTAATATTATAATAGTATAAGGGTGTATTTTAGACATTTAAAATACTTGGTGGTTTAATCTATTAATTAAACTAGACTTTTAATTTAATTAAACTCAAACCATATATTTATGGATTAATAATACTCTTTTAATTAAACGCTTTAATTAACTATTAATAAAGTCCATAAGAGTTAATTTGAACTATTCAACAAAACATAATAATTCCAATTATTAAACTCAAAATTAAAACCATTTAATTAATTGTTTAAGTTATGAACCCAAGAGTTTTAGAATTCAATTCTTTTTTTCATAAAAAACTTTTCTCAAATTCCAAAACTTGAGGGCAAGTTTTGTAATTCTTGAAAACCTTTGGATTCCATAACTTATGGACTTAATGGTGTTTTATGATGAAACTTTCCATGTTCCATAACTTAAGAACAAGTTATGAAATTCTTTAAAACATTAACACCAAATTTTGTAACTCCATAAAAACTTTGAATCAAATTTTTTTTTAAAAAAAACTTTCATATCCATAACTTATGGAAGTTTCAAAAACCCTTAAGATCACAACTTTTAAAAAAACTTTTGAGCTCCAAAATTTTATGACAAAATATGTAACTCCTTAAAACATTTAGATCAAACTTTTAAAACTAATAAAATAATCATATCATTTTATCTTTTACTAAATTTGACCTAATTCAACTCATATAACAAATGATTCAAATTTTACAAATAATTCGTTTTTTCACAAAACAAGTAATTATCTTAAAATTTGACAAACGTCATGTTTTTTTCCTTTTTTTTCCAACTTGAAAATAAAACATTTGCATCAATATAACAGAAAACAACCCATGGCTCTGACACCACTGTTGGGTTTTGAGCATTCTAACACTCCTATGGTGTACATGCAACCCTATAAACCTTGGATCTATGTTTTATCTATTATACATGCAAATATTAACTATTCCAAGGTTTCATCCTAACTAGCATATTATGAAGCACCTATACTACAAAGTTCTAGTTAGATGACATACCTTTTGATGTAGCTTGATGTCTTCAAGCTTTAAGAGCTTAGCCCCAATAGTGTGGAAGCCTCAAATGGAATCACAAATCACCAAAACACCTTGGAAGAACTTGAGAGAATATGTATGCACACTAAAATCGGCCCACTCTTATTTTCACACACTTGTGCCAATTTTGTGAGCCAAGGACCCCTTTATATATTATGGAGGATTAGGGTTACATCCATGTAAACCCTAATACCCATGACCTTTCATTTACATAGGATCCATGGGTTAAAAGCTCCATGGACCATCCATGAAAGCTTAGCCCAACCTAAATGAACTTGGCCAATTCCATATATATAAGAGTCCATATTTAATTAGTTCTTTTTGATCACTTAATTAATTCTAAATTAATTCTTGATCAATACTAATTAAATAATATGATTCCATATTAATATATTAGAACTTCTAATATATTAATATAAATCATAAATATACTATTCTCAAAAGACTATCCATATAAATTGTGTCGGTGAAGTGCAACCCAAATGGACCATGCCGGGTCGGGTCAAGTACATACCAAATATAGTTATGGACTTAGACATTAATCCAACATAAAGGAAACTGACAAGATGGAGAAACTAGCTCGAACATACATCATGGAGATTGTGCGACTGCATCCATTATCTCCGACAGAGATAGTAGATTCACCTCAAGGTTCTGGCAGTCACTACAAAAATCTACTTAGGTCATTACATTGAATTGAAATATCGGGTTGTCACAAAACATCTTTGGGTGATCACCAGGTGCATTCTGATCAGAAATTTTCATCAAAAGCATTTTGTCTTTTCTCAGCTTATCAACTCTTCTCTGCTTCTCCCTTCTTTCTTCAGCTGTGACGGAGCCAGGAGACAGAAATTGATCAAGGTTAGAATCTTAGGCAGGACTAAACACGATCTTTCAGATGTATCTGAAGCTTTTCCATCATTAGAACCTGAAGTCTTGAACTCATCACCAAATTTTCCAATTAATTTGTCTTTGAGATCAAAATAAAGAGCTGTCAACCCGCCAAGATTGGCTTGAAGGTCTGAGATCTGCTTACTCTTTTGAGAATTTTCTTTTGCAAGCTCAGAAACTCTCACATCCAAGTTGCCAATCAGCAAGTCCTTCTCTTGTTTGAAAATTACGATCTCTTGTTTGAGCTCAAAAATGGTTTGTTGAGAGTCTTCATCACCTCCTTGCCCTGAGCCAATAGATATTCCATTTCCTCTTGACTGAGGAATAGTGTCTTGAAAAGCAAGTAGCTTGGCTAACTTGACAGATGCAGAATCGTGCTCTGGAGGTGGTGGGGCAGAAGAGCTTCCCGAGGCAAAAGTTTCCTCATTAGCTAAGAAGTCTTCGTCAAAAGTTGAGTTTTGATCATCTTGATTAACCTGGCCTGGTTCAACAATTGGACTTTGATCATCTTGATTAACCTGGGCTGGTTCAACATTAGAAGTTGGTATCAGGGAGGCATTTGAATCGTCTTTATCACTCCCAGATGGAGACTCAGTAGTAACATGAACTACTTGGGGAGGCTTCCAAGCAGTTGACTGTAATTTTTCGATAAGGGCTTCCATATGTTCAGGCGTTGGATTGTTTGGTTGCTTGAAAATGTTGATTTCATTCTCTGTCTCAACTGGAGAAATCACAACCTCATTGACCAACTCCTTTGATGATTCAAGCATACGAACATCCTCAACACTTCTTCGACGTACGGACTTATGTCCTTAATTCTGGTGCTGATAGGGTGACTGGGGGATCTGATAAAGTAGGTCTGTATGAAATTATTTTTCTTTCTTATCCTCTATGTCAGTCATATGTTGCCCCCTTTGCGTGATTGGAAGAGATCCGACCTGGGAAGCAACATATGCATCTCTATTTCTATGCATCTCTCTATCTATGTCAGTGATATGCTGTCCTCTCTGCGTGATTGGAAGAGATCCGACCTAGGACACATCATATGCACCTTTCTATCTCTCTAACACAACATATGTTAGTTATATGTTGTCCTTCTGCGTGACTGGAAGAGACAATCACGCAGAGTGTTGAGGATGTTCGTATGTTTGAACCATCAAAGGAGCCGGTCAATGAGGCTGTGATTTCTCCAGCTGAGACAGAGAATGGAATCAACATTTTCAAGCAACCAAACAATCCAACGCCCGAACAATTACAGCCAACTGCGAGGAAGCCTCCCCAAGCAGTTCCTTTTACTATGGAGTGTCTATTTGGGAGTGATAAAGACGATTCAAATGCCTCCCTGATTCCAAGAAAGCGAAGACGTAGAGATCCAAGGTTGGGAGTGCTTATTACTGAACTAGTACAACAACCAACTTCAAATATTGAACCAGCCCAGGTTAATCAAGATGATCAAAGTCCAATTGTTGAACCAACACAGGTTAATCAAGACTCTTCTGCCCCACCACCTCCAGAGCACGATTCTGCATCTGTCAAGTTAGCCAAGCTACGTGCTTTTCAAGACTCTATTCCTCAGTCAAAAGGAAAGGGAATATCTATTGGCTCAGGGCAAGGAGGTGATGAAGACTCTCAACAAACCATTTCTGAGCTCAAACAAGAGATCGTAACTTTCAAACAAGAGGACTTGCTGATTGGCAACTTGGATGTGAGAGTTTCTGAGCTTGCAAAAGAAAATTCTCAAAAGAGTAAGCAGATCTCAGACCTTCAAGCCAATCTTGGCGGCGGCGGGGGGGGGGGGGGTTGACAACTCTTTATTTTGATCTTAAAGACAAATTAATTGGAAAATTTGGTGATGAGTTCAAGACTTCAGGTTCTGATGATGAAAAAGCTTCAGAGACATCTGAAAGAGTCGTGGTTAGTCCTTCCCAAGATTCTAACCTTGATCAATTTCTATCTTCTGGCTTCGTCACAACTGAAGAAAGAAGGGAGAAGTAGAGAAAAGTTGATAAGCTGAGGAAAGACAAAATGCTTTTGATGAAAAACTCTGATCAGAATGCACCTGGTGAAAGAACCCCTTTCTATACTTTCATATTTCTGAAAGACCCAAACTTTCATATTTGACAATTGTTATTCCGAAACATGCTACATGCATATTCATAAAACAATATTTTATATTGATAAAATGGTTACAAACTACTGGATACAAACCCACTATCTCATAGTGTTATATAGTACATAACTTCCCAGGATTCTATAGATTTATACATATGGGAGTGCAAAATACAATAGTTTCAAACTATTCAAACTATACAATAGTGCAAAATACTCATAGTGTTATATAGTAATAGGGTTTACTATTACCTAATACCACTGCAGCGAGTTCGAGATCATGAGTGGGATAATTCTTTTCATAATCTTTCAGTTGTCTTGAGGCATATGCTATCACTTTACCACGTTGCATCAACACACAACCGAGTCCTAATCTTGAAGCATCGCTATATACAGAGAAATCATCATCACCTTCTGGAAGTGATAAGATTGGAGCATGGGTCAAAAGATCTTTTAGAGTCGAGAAAGCTTTTTCTTGGGCTTCACCCCATTCGAACTTCACTTCCTTTCGTGTAAGACTCGTGAGAGGTACGACTATACGAGAAAAATCCTTAATAAATCTCCGGTAATATCCCGCGAGACCCAAGAAACTACGCATTTCAAAAGCATTACGAGGCACTTCCTAATTTTGAATAGCTTCAATTTTAGTAGGATCTATGGATACACCGTCACCAGAAATAACATGGCCGAGAAATTGAACTTGGCGAAGCCAAAATTCACATTTCGAGAATTTAGCATAAAGTTTCTCCTTTCGAAGAAGTTCTAATACCGCACGAATATGAATGGCATGATCAGCTTCAGACTTGGAATAGATTAGAATATCGTCAATGAATACGATGACAGATTTATCGAGCATTGGGCGGCATACCCGATTCATCATAATCCATGAATACAGCAGGAGCATTCGTTAAACCAAACGGCATAACAAGGAATTCGTAATGCCCATATCGAGTACGAAAAGCAGTCTTCGGTACATCCTGCTCGTGAACTTTCAACTGATGATAGCCAGATCTTAGATCAATCTTTGAGAAATAGCTAACACCCTGAAGTTGATCGAACAAATCGTCGATGCGAGGTAGTGGATATTTGTTCTGTATAGTCACCTTATTCAGCTCACGATAATCAATGCACATCCGCATCGATCCGTCCTTCTTCTTGACAAACAATACCGGAGCACCCCAGGGAGAGGTACTTGGTCGGATAAAGCCTTTGTCAAGTAATTCCTGCAGTTGGATCATCATTTCTTTCATCTCAGCTGGCGCAAGACGATAAGGAGTCTTAGCAATCGGAGCAGCACCAGGCACAAGGTCAATTCGGAATTCTACTTGCCTGTCCGGAGGAAGTCCAGACAATTCTTCGGGAAAAACATCTGGATATTCCTTAGCAATGGGAACATCATTCACCGTTTTATTATTTTCTTTTGAGACATCGACTGTGTAGGCCAGATAGATAGAACACCCTTTCGATATGAATTTACGGGCTTTAAGGAAAGATATTATTTTTATGGTTCCTTGTTCACCATAGATATAGATAGGATTCTCCCCTTCAATGGGAATACGTACTATCTTTTCATAACACAAAAGGTCTGCGTGGTTCTTCGACAACCAATCCATGCCGAGAATAATGTCAAAGTTGGGCAAGGAGATAGGAATTATATTAGCAAGAAAATTGTAGCCTTCAATTTCTATAACACAATTCCTAGACTTTATCGGCAAGTAATGATATACTTCCAGCTGTCTCTACGTGAAAGGGTTGCGCGAGTGCATATCAAGCAATTTGAAAAGAATGCGCAAATTCATAAGACACAAAAGAATCTGAGGCACCAGAATCAAATAAGATGTGAGCAGGTCTAGAGTTAACAAGAAATGTACCCGTCACAACATTCGGGTCCTCGCGTGCCTCTTCTGTGGTGATCTGGAATGCACGACCCTTAGCTTTTGGAACCTCCTCCTTTTTAGTTGGAGTACCCCTTGATTGTTGAACAGGAGCTTGACTTTTCGCCGGTTGTTGTACGAAAGCTTGACTTTTCGCCGGTTGTTGAACGGAAGCTTGACTTCCCGTCATCTGACTAGTAAGAGTGGGGCAAAAACGCTTCCTGTGGCCAGTAACACCATATGCAAATCATGTAACACCTTTCATTGGACACACAGGCCTCTTGTGTCCTACTTCTCCACATCCAAAACAGACCACGGTTCTTTCCTCTAGTCTGCATTCGCCCGGATGATTCTTTCCACAATTTCGACAAGCTGGCGACTGAAGAGAAAAAGATTGTGACCTGCCGCGGCCACGAAAAGCACTCTGAGATTGTACTTGCTTGCTAGGTTCAGATCGAACGAATTGAGTTGGTGGAATAGGGGAAGCAGGAGCAGTCCTTTCAGTACGTGGATGTTTCGGAACAGTAAGAGTGGCACCACGTATTTCTAAGTCATGCTCACGCTTTCGAGCATACTCAACAACTTTATCAAATGATAGTACTTCCCGATTGGCAACGAAATCGTGAATTTCGTGCCGTAGTCCTTCTAAGAATAACTGAATTTTCTCATCTTCAGTTGGAATATACTTTACGGCAAACCGTGCTTTTTGATTGAACTGAGTTTCATACTCATTCACAGTCATTCCTCCCTGTTTAAGCTCGAGGAATTCTTTCTCCAACCTCATCCTCATGTCTAGAGGACAGTACTTCTCTAGCACACGAGTTTTGAACATTTCCCAGGGTAAATTCTCTTGGTCAAACTTGCTGAGAGCTTCATAGGTTGCTTCCCACCAGACCAAGGCTTCTCCGATGAGCATTGCAGAAGTATAGTTAGCCTTGTCTTCAGCATCTACATGAGAAATACGAAACACTTTTTCTGTGTTCTGGATCCAAGTAAGAACAACAATTGGATTAAGAACACCAGAAAACTCTGTAGCACCGCTACTCTTGAAATCTTTAAACGAGGGACGCTTCACCTCTCCTCTCGAAGATTCTCCAGTGGCTTTCTCTTTTCCTTTATCACCACTCTTTTTGTGTTCTTCGAGAGTCTGTCGAATAACACCGGTAAGTTTACCCAAGAGTCGCTCCTCACGAGGAGATACTGGAGTATTCACTTCCTCAGGTTGAGGACCTCCACCAACCTCGGGGGTATGGCTACTAACCTGTTCAGCCATTGCTCTGCAATAGGGAGTAATATTGTATTTTAGAATATTAGGGTTTACTATTACCTAATACTTATATATATATATTTCCTATGGTTTGTATCCCTATACTTATAATGATTAAGTTCATATATTGAACTTCCAATAGTTTAAGTCTAAATACCAATCCGTGGAATTTAGTTCACTTAAACCACTGCTCTGATACCATGATTGAAAGAACCCCTTTCTATACTTTCATATTTATGAAAGACCCAAACTTTCATATTTGACAATTGTTATTCCGAAACATGCTACATGCATATTCATAAAACAATATTTTATATTGATAAAACGGTTACAAACTACTGGATACAAACCCACTATCTCATAGTGTTATATAGTACATAACTTCCCAGGATTCTATAGATTTATACATATGGGAGTGCAAAATACAATAGTTTCAAACTATTCAAAAATCTTCTATCAATACAGTAGTTTCAAACTATTCAAAAATCTGCTACCAGTATATAACCATACTGGATGCTTATCTCCTGCAAATTAGTTGAACATTGAGAGGGGTAAGCGGTGACGCTTAGTGAGTTCAATAATAGATACAATATAACGTTATGCCATATATATACTGTAATATGCCAGAAGCAAAGAGGAACAAGGAACAACAAAGGCATAATGCGAAAAGCTTTCCATATTAATCAATGAGACATAACAAATTCCATACTTGATATAAAATCAATAAAGTTTCAGCACAAATGGCACAGTAAATACTTAAGAATATCATTTTGCTAGAATATTTAGGCTTTCAGCCTTATCTTAGCATACTACCGAAGCCAAAGTGATGCCTATGTCATACACTTCATGGTCAACGGTTCATACCAATATCTAAGTGATGCTTATGTCATACACTTCAAGTCAGAGGTACAACCTTGCTATAAAATAGCAGATACAACAACTCGAGATGATAACATGGAAAAGCACATAGCACATGTAACACATAACATACAATTGTTCCTATATATTAAACTCACCAAGAAATAACCGGGGGTCAAAATAGTAATTTGGGCAGCACTTCGGCTTTAAATATGACTTTCTTCGTTGAAAACCGGGAGTTTTCTTGAAAATCGGGCTCTGCGAAGGTAGAGCTTCGAAACCGAAAAGATAAATTTTCCGGGCTTCTCGGAAATATCGGGGCGCGTTTCGGGGTTTGGAATAAGTATCGGGGATTCGGGGGAAGTCGGAATGCAAGAAAATGTTGAAAAGGGGTGAAAAAGGCCAAGTTTTAAACTTCTAACCGGGAGGTCTCGCACCCCTTATATAGGTGCGAGCCTCGGATCCGAAGCGAGGAGAGGAGGGCACGCGGCTGCGAGGTTCGGACCAGGTGGCAGCAGGGCGAGGCTCGGATGGACAGGTGCTCGCTTCGCATTGGTCGGATGACGCGGCTTCTGGCTTCGGATCGGGTCGGCTGCTTCGGTGCAATGGGAGGAGGACACGAGGGTCGGATCACGTGTGACATGCGAGGATCACGTGGCCCTTCAGACATCTGTGCGACACGCGTCGCTTCTCAGGCATGCCACGCAGCAGCTTCGGACACGTGGCCAACTCCGAGCGAGGGTGACGTGGCAATCACTATTCATGCGAAATTTCTCGAAAAATGTGCCCAATCTTGTAAAATCCATAACTTTCTCATACGGACTCCGTTTTTGACGTTCTTTATATGCACGCGTAGAGAAAATTATGATCTACAACTTTTGTTTAGA